AGTGTTAGATAATCCAAAAATTTAAATTTCAGGTAAAATCTTAACTGTGTGCATGCTAAATGACCAAAAAAGGCTAAAATACCTTATTGTAGCAATTTGAGGGCTGTAATTTGACACTAACATAATTGTTACATAAAAAAAATAATGTAACATGATTTCTGACAACAAATGTGACCAATTTTCACTGTAAAGGGTATGATTTCTAAAAATAGAATTTCACATGCCTGTCAGTAATAGGTATAAAACCACTAATTTATAGCCCCATTGCTTTCTATGTTAAATTCTGCAATTTCAAGCATAAATGGCTACTTTATCTTAAGTTCAAATAAAGTGGCAGTTATTTCATGTCAAAACTGTACCTTATGCTGACTTGTGCTGAAAAAATCAACATACCTTTAATTGCATATTAGAGCGTACTGGTTCCCGGAAGTTTGATAGTACAAAAACAGGAACTTCTGATCTGAACAACAGGCCAAATGAGCCCTCCTATTAAAATTTCCTATACTTCTTTATTATTCAAATAAAACTTTCAACAAGGGTTCTACAGTGACCCCAAGTCCCCAAGCTTTCATTTGATACTAGCACTACCCAAATATTCCCACTATTGACAAAGATACAGCTATGCGTAGGAACTATTTTGTTTAAAATATGTACTACTTTCTTGTATGTTCTTTCCGACCGGGCCTGAATTAGTGGTTCTATACCTATAACAGCACCAAACTTGTTATATTGACTTCTGCTTGACTTAATTTCCTTCTATGATCTATTTCTAGCATAGAAAAACACATAAAGCTTTTGTCAAAACACTATATCACTGAATTCAAGCTCAAATTGGACTGGTAGTAACATATGCGTTAAACAAATAAAACTACATATGGATACTAATAGTGACAGATATGACACTTTTTCAATTTTTACCAGTTCTGATTTGTTAATATCTACTCAAATAACAGTGTTCTTACCTATATGTCTTATTTTTATCAGAGATTCTTCCTTGAATATAAATACAGTGGTCCAAACATAAAATATAATTGATAATTTTGTCCCCCCTTTTTTCTACATGTTGGAAAAGGAGAGTGATTAGGTAAAAAAACCATACTTTCATGTATAAACATGAATCAACAAAGCAATTTATGTATCTCCAAGCTAGACAACTTGCTAAACTGGTTATAAAATGCATTTCAAGTGAGATTTTGGAATTCCTATATAAGTATACACCAATTTTCCTTGAAATAAATAATTCACCAAGAAACACAATAAAACATGAACACTCACTAGATAATTTGACCAAAAACAATATTTATACCATAAACTAGTCATAGTATACAAGTTTCATTGGTTTCAGTGTTAGATAATCCAAAAATTTAAATTTCAGGTAAAATCTTAACTGTGTGCATGCTAAATGACCAAAAAAGGCTAAAATACCTTATTGTAGCAATTTGAGGGCTGTAATTTGACACTAACATAATTGTTACATAAAAAAAATAATGTAACATGATTTCTGACAACAAATGTGACCAATTTTCACTGTAAAGGGTATGATTTCTAAAAATAGAATTTCACATGCCTGTCAGTAATAGGTATAAAACCACTAATTTATAGCCCCATTGCTTTCTATGTTAAATTCTGCAATTTCAAGCATAAATGGCTACTTTATCTTAAGTTCAAATAAAGTGGCAGTTATTTCATGTCAAAACTGTACCTTATGCTGACTTGTGCTGAAAAAATCAACATACCTTTAATTGCATATTAGAGCGTACTGGTTCCCGGAAGTTTGATAGTACAAAAACAGGAACTTCTGATCTGAACAACAGGCCAAATGAGCCCTCCTATTAAAATTTCCTATACTTCTTTATTATTCAAATAAAACTTTCAACAAGGGTTCTACAGTGACCCCAAGTCCCCAAGCTTTCATTTGATACTAGCACTACCCAAATATTCCCACTATTGACAAAGATACAGCTATGCGTAGGAACTATTTTGTTTAAAATATGTACTACTTTCTTGTATGTTCTTTCCGACCGGGTCTGAATTAGTGGTTCTATACCTATAACAGCACCAAACTTGTTATATTGACTTCTGCTTGACTTAATTTCCTTCTATGATCTATTTCTAGCATAGAAAAACACATAAAGCTTTTGTCAAAACACTATATCACTGAATTCAAGCTCAAATTGGACTGGTAGTAACATATGCGTTAAACAAATAAAACTACATATGGATACTAATAGTGACAGATATGACACTTTTTCAATTTTTACCAGTTCTGATTTGTTAATATCTACTCAAATAACAGTGTTCTTACCTATATGTCTTATTTTTATCAGAGATTCTTCCTTGAATATAAATACAGTGGTCCAAACATAAAATATAATTGATAATTTTGTCCCCCCTTTTTTCTACATGTTGGAAAAGGAGAGTGATTAGGTAAAAAAACCATACTTTCATGTATAAACATGAATCAACAAAGCAATTTATGTATCTCCAAGCTAGACAACTTGCTAAACTGGTTATAAAATGCATTTCAAGTGAGATTTTGGAATTCCTATATAAGTATACACCAATTTTCCTTGAAATAAATAATTCACCAAGAAACACAATAAAACATGAACACTCACTAGATAATTTGACCAAAAACAATATTTATACCATAAACTAGTCATAGTATACAAGTTTCATTGGTTTCAGTGTTAGATAATCCAAAAATTTAAATTTCAGGTAAAATCTTAACTGTGTGCATGCTAAATGACCAAAAAAGGCTAAAATACCTTATTGTAGCAATTTGAGGGCTGTAATTTGACACTAACATAATTGTTACATAAAAAAAATAATGTAACATGATTTCTGACAACAAATGTGACCAATTTTCACTGTAAAGGGTATGATTTCTAAAAATAGAATTTCACATGCCTGTCAGTAATAGGTATAAAACCACTAATTTATAGCCCCATTGCTTTCTATGTTAAATTCTGCAATTTCAAGCATAAATGGCTACTTTATCTTAAGTTCAAATAAAGTGGCAGTTATTTCATGTCAAAACTGTACCTTATGCTGACTTGTGCTGAAAAAATCAACATACCTTTAATTGCATATTAGAGCGTACTGGTTCCCGGAAGTTTGATAGTACAAAAACAGGAACTTCTGATCTGAACAACAGGCCAAATGAGCCCTCCTATTAAAATTTCCTATACTTCTTTATTATTCAAATAAAACTTTCAACAAGGGTTCTACAGTGACCCCAAGTCCCCAAGCTTTCATTTGATACTAGCACTACCCAAATATTCCCACTATTGACAAAGATACAGCTATGCGTAGGAACTATTTTGTTTAAAATATGTACTACTTTCTTGTATGTTCTTTCCGACCGGGCCTGAATTAGTGGTTCTATACCTATAACAGCACCAAACTTGTTATATTGACTTCTGCTTGACTTAATTTCCTTCTATGATCTATTTCTAGCATAGAAAAACACATAAAGCTTTTGTCAAAACACTATATCACTGAATTCAAGCTCAAATTGGACTGGTAGTAACATATGCGTTAAACAAATAAAACTACATATGGATACTAATAGTGACAGATATGACACTTTTTCAATTTTTACCAGTTCTGATTTGTTAATATCTACTCAAATAACAGTGTTCTTACCTATATGTCTTATTTTTATCAGAGATTCTTCCTTGAATATAAATACAGTGGTCCAAACATAAAATATAATTGATAATTTTGTCCCCCCTTTTTTCTACATGTTGGAAAAGGAGAGTGATTAGGTAAAAAAACCATACTTTCATGTATAAACATGAATCAACAAAGCAATTTATGTATCTCCAAGCTAGACAACTTGCTAAACTGGTTATAAAATGCATTTCAAGTGAGATTTTGGAATTCCTATATAAGTATACACCAATTTTCCTTGAAATAAATAATTCACCAAGAAACACAATAAAACATGAACACTCACTAGATAATTTGACCAAAAACAATATTTATACCATAAACTAGTCATAGTATACAAGTTTCATTGGTTTCAGTGTTAGATAATCCAAAAATTTAAATTTCAGGTAAAATCTTAACTGTGTGCATGCTAAATGACCAAAAAAGGCTAAAATACCTTATTGTAGCAATTTGAGGGCTGTAATTTGACACTAACATAATTGTTACATAAAAAAAATAATGTAACATGATTTCTGACAACAAATGTGACCAATTTTCACTGTAAAGGGTATGATTTCTAAAAATAGAATTTCACATGCCTGTCAGTAATAGGTATAAAACCACTAATTTATAGCCCCATTGCTTTCTATGTTAAATTCTGCAATTTCAAGCATAAATGGCTACTTTATCTTAAGTTCAAATAAAGTGGCAGTTATTTCATGTCAAAACTGTACCTTATGCTGACTTGTGCTGAAAAAATCAACATACCTTTAATTGCATATTAGAGCGTACTGGTTCCCGGAAGTTTGATAGTACAAAAACAGGAACTTCTGATCTGAACAACAGGCCAAATGAGCCCTCCTATTAAAATTTCCTATACTTCTTTATTATTCAAATAAAACTTTCAACAAGGGTTCTACAGTGACCCCAAGTCCCCAAGCTTTCATTTGATACTAGCACTACCCAAATATTCCCACTATTGACAAAGATACAGCTATGCGTAGGAACTATTTTGTTTAAAATATGTACTACTTTCTTGTATGTTCTTTCCGACCGGGCCTGAATTAGTGGTTCTATACCTAAAGAGTCACACAAAAGGATCGATTGGCCATCTTTTAAGCTTGGTACCGTGTATCCTATTTCATTATAAATATCTGGAATATGCATTCATTCGCCTTGTAACTTTTACTTTGTTAACTAGAATATATTCACTATATTGCAGACCATTCAAGAATTATAACATGTCTTTTGTCTGATGTGTATATATATGTGTTAGCCTTGCAATTTTAAAATTGAACATACTAGTATAAGTATTACTTCTTTGTTTAGTAATAATGCCCACTTACGTTTCTTTGAAATATGAATGTCGGTTAGCCACTCGACACTTTCTGTATTTCCAAATCCAGGTACCCGTATGTCAACACCATCAGGATAACTGGTTGTGTGTGTCTTGTTGTTATATATTAATCTGTCAATTAAATTAACATGTTAACAAGAAAATAAAACAAAATCACTACATGCTGCATACATAATAAACTAGAAAAAGAATCTTAGCTGTCCCTCTATAAGTCAAAAGTGTTTTTTTTTTATTTATCTAGGATCATTTTTCTTTTTCATTTGAAAAAAACAGTATAATCAAAAGATAAAATCATGTTCATTTCTTTTACTAATTTGAATAAAAGTCCTCACAATAAATAGATTGCATTGCTGAATCAAAATTTGCAACTAGTAGAAATATGGACCGATGATTTGCCATCATATGCAATTCCTTAATTGCGAAACACTCCTATATTTCTCAATGAAATTATTATAATACCTGAAGTTTGCAATAAAGCAATCCGTTGCTGTTGGAGTCAGGACACTAAATATTCGTACCCACATCGTGTAATAATGCTTCGTCACTTTGGTACATGTAATATGCGGACCATGCGATGGTTTGCTTAATTTTCCTTCTATTCGAGTGCCCCCATCTCCAGGAACTATACGAATAAGAAAAAGAATTTACATGGTTCGCTGTATTTGTAATAATTAACATCATGGTTCTGTCAAAATGTATTATCTTCTCTTTGCGAACCATACCATGAATGCGATTAAAAGTCACATCCCTTCCTTGCTTGAATTTTAATCATTTGACAATCGCAAAAAGTTTCATAAGACTAATCATTTCAACTTATTGGAACCACAGTATTCAGTGTTAACACTTTTGATTTCAATATTGAGAGAGAGAGAGAGAGAGAGAGAGAGAGAGAGAGAGAGAGAGAGAGTACGTTTGTAAAAACTTAGATAAAGTAAGGTCTTTGAAATACTGAAGATTCATTTCCTGTCTCAAATACGCGAAAGTCCGTATGATTGTTTATTTTTTTCTTTTGCAAGCCCTGCAATCAGTCATTTCGCCAAAAACCATACAGAAGATAGGACTTTACTATTCTGCTTACTATAGATTCTCACATACGAACTGTTTGTTACACATTAAAAGTGGATCTTCTGACAAAGGTTAAACCGACTGCGCATTTGCTAAATAATATTGTTAAAACTAAAAAAATTAAACATATTGTTAACTGCATCGTTCTAGATCCCTAAAAAATATGAAACCACCCCTTTTTTGCCCCCTTTCAAATATAGATATAGGTAGGGTTCCCTTGAAAAAGGGGGATGGGGTTATTGGGGGCTATTGACAAAGTCTAGAAAAAAAAAACTTTTATTGTTATTTTCACAATCTTCGTTTTTAAGAATTCATTAGTTTATCTTCCTAAATACTTTAAATTCTGTAAAAAAAATGAAGCAATACACAAGATCATTGACCCGCGGATAGAGGAACCGAGGAACCAATTGTCGATTTTACCATTTATTTAGTAATGCAAGTTCTAAATATAGTTACCTAGTATAACAGGAGGCAGTTGTTGTTTACCATAGTTCCCACCAATAACAAGTATCAAAAGTATCCACGAGATGAAAGTAGCCGCATGCATGATGGAGATACATGCACATGTATGGGCACACATATAAAAGAAATACACAATCACTTCCTTGTTTCATAATATAAAGAGACATTGAATTTTAAATGGGATAAAAATAACCCATTTTTAACTTTAATTGAGGAAGTTACTAACAGACAGATTTCATAACAGTATTGAGCCTCCTCATGGGGTTTTTGATTATGTGATTACTTGGCCGTTTTTTTAGTGATTATTTGATTACCAGACCAAATAATTCATGATTATTTGATAATCTAGGACTGTATTTTTGATTATTTGATTATCTTGTTTAAAAAAATAATCAATGATTAGGTGATTATATTGGCAAAATAAATGGGGTTATGTGATAACTTAGACACCCCCATGAGGGGCTTCAGTATTATAATCAAAATATAGATCTCTGATTTCGTTATGCTACATTTTGTAATACACCTAATCGCTATTTATTCCATTCCGGATACGTTCTAAAATTACACAACTGTTTCATCCAGTTGAAGCTATCTGGGGCCCTGTTTAAACAATGCACCATGCATGATACTTTTTAATGAGATCTGTTTAAAACATCGTAAATACTTCAAACAAAATATTTTTTTACTATAATATGAGTTTCGAAAAAGTGGATCATAATCTATCAAAGTTTCGTATTGATCGCTTTCTAAATTTTTCCCTCCCTCAGCTCGTTACTGATGACCTTTGTTGTTTACCTGTTCAAGGCCTGTTGACCCAAACAGGAAGTTGTCTAAATGACTGTTTTTTCCGGATTGGACTAAATAGCGATAAGGTGTATTAGACAAGTAAGCGAGTTACGATAAATTTGAATTTTAATAAAATTGGCATACACAAATTTTTTTTATGCAAATCTGTCATTATATTGTAATGGATGATCGAGCATGACTTAAGATTACGGGTACATTATATCATTATCATTTTCCATGTTTAAGGAAACGGAAGTCTGTACTTGATAGATGTGAATACATTACCTTATTTAAATAAATGGTAATGTTATTATACCCTTTTTATAGTGTCAACTTCCAATACCCCATGTCTAAAACAATGAATGATTGTAAGGTGTACATGTCTGACTGGAAGGTTTTATCTGACCTTGATCTCATTTTCATGGTTCATTGGACAATATTAAGTTTTTGTGGTTTGGTTTTTTCTCCGATACTATAACCAATAGGACCACCACATGTTGTGTGTACATGGCTGTCTGGTAGTTATCATATGACCTTGACCTCATTTTCAAGGTTCATTGGTCAATGTTAAGTTTTCATGATTTTGTCCATTTATCAATTACCATAAACAACAGATCAAATTATATTTCAAGTTAGTTTATGGAATGATTGTAAGATGTACATGTCTGTCTGACAGGGTTCAAATGACCTTGACCCCTTTTTTATAGTTCATTGGTTAATGTTATTTTTTTGTGGTTTGGTCTGTTTTCAGGGTACTATAAGAAATTAAACCACTACATTTTTGTATGGAATGATTGTAAGGTGTACATGTCTGTCTGACAGGGTTCAAATGACCTTGACCCCTTTTTTATAGTTCATTGGTTAATGATATTTTTTTGTGGTTTGGTCTGTTTTCAGGGTACTATAAGAAATTAAACCACTACATTTTTGTATGGAATGATTGTAAGGTGTACATGTCTGTCTGTCTGGCATACTTCATTTCACATTTTGATTGATCTTTGATAATGTAAATTTTATGTGATGCTTGTATTAAAGCATTCACATTACAACTTTTCAACATAAATTCAATCTAAAGTACAGCAGGCAAGGCAAGGCATTGTATGCAGTCTTGTTTTAATGCTAAGGGGCTTATGGGAAAATACAACTGTAATAAACTGCAATCACATAAAAAAATTTCACTGATATTTTCAAACTTGCTGTACACACTTTTAAGTTGACCAAATGCAGCTACAGTAATGTTCATTGTGGATGTTATCATTGTCAGCAGTCCATGGTGGAAATTGGCAAAATATCTATATTATCCCCTGTGCTAACCTTTGGAGTGAATATGCTATTTCTCTTCTTTCATTATAAGAATGGAGCACATTACCTTAGATATAAAAAAAGTTCTATTATTTTATTTTAATCTTATGTTGAAGAAATGTAAACATGTTTAAGTTGACACAGTTGTCAGTGCCAAAATCCACATTAACTGTAGTATGACATAAATAATTCACTGGGCAGACATATTGAAACTCCATTATGGTGTGTCAGATATTCCTCACAGATTTACTAATCAACATCAATTAATTAATGCTGGTTAAAAAAACAATCTCACTGATATTATAATCATTGAATTTGATATTATTGAATTACAGAGTCGTCTCGAGGTAACATTTTCCTGAACATGTATGAAATATTTGCTACTTGACGTTAGGCAACCTACAATCAATCAATCTTGGCAACACAGGATAAACAAAATTCTTAAATCATCATAATACTGCTTATCATATTAATTTATAAAATAAACAAAAAATGACAACAACAACTACCCAGAGTCTTCGATAAAACATACTCGCTAGTTGTCAATCATGTTCATATGATACATGTACTTTTCTTGGTGGTTGGATAAAAGTTTGCCATGCCTTGCATGTGACCGCACAAAATTTGCCAATTGAACAGACAGTTCCCCTTTGAATTGAATACCATTTTTCAATATAACTCTTGAAACAAGGCACTGCAGTGTTCTATTTCTTGCACGACAGAGAGGTAGGCAAGTGAATTCTGAATAATCAATGGGCGTCATTTCCCATACATCTATATAATCCTGATGTGCTCCGGCTTCCAGAAGGGCATCCAAAACAATCTTATCCTCTTGAGTAAGATCTTTCCCAGACTCAAAACTTAGGAAGAATGTATGAAGAGGCGTTTGACCATTAATGTCAAATACATTAGGGGCTGCTCCACTCTCAAGTAGGAGTTGTGTCACACGAAAGGGATTTTCAAATTGAGATAACCACCATCTAATTGGTGGAAGACTGAAAATACCATTCTTGTCAACGCCATTATTCTCGGACACAATTTTCCTGATTAAAACAGAATAATGCAGTAGCGTCTGGTTAAATGAATCTCTAATGTCTAACTTGACGATTTGTATAAGACATCTTCTGAACTGATTGGTCTGATCAGGAGTCTTTTCATGTTCATCGATCTTATAGATTGTAATTAACAAATAGGTAATTTGCTCTTTTATAAGTGTATTTGTTCCTAGAAACTTATAGCAGACTAAGAAAATACATTTCAATATAGCCATAATGGTATCAAAGTCAAGTTGTTTGCGAAGCTTTTCACTCGATAATGCTAGTGTAAGTGCTTTAACTATCTGCTGCACTACAATCAAAGGTTTCTTTTTATCAAACATTTGATTCTGAATGTAAAAGCAAAGACTGCTTGTCACCAAAGATATACTTGATTTCAAATGTCCCAAAAACTGTTCATTGTGATAACGCTTTGCGATTAATAACATGACTGCTAATGTGAAAGAATTTCCATACCCTATCACCCTTTCATATAGCAGACCGGCCTGTATTAAAATATCTTTGGAGGTTTCTAGTTGTAAATATTCTAGATCTTCAATGGACTGAAATTCTAACTGGAAGTCAAAGGCACACCTCTGATACGGAATTATTGTCTTCATAAGTTTTTCCGATTCTTTTCTTGTTTGGTAATGCTCGTTATGCAGGATGTTTAATAATTTATTTAATTCACTACCAGTGCCTACAGGGGAGAAAGGATGAAGCGATGAAATTTCATGTTTTCCAAGTCTCATCTCAGTAGATACATTCCAGCAGAGTAATGCATCTGCAAATTTCAGGTATTTGATAACAAGGAAAGCACCATAAATCTCAACAGCATCAAGCTTGATTTTCAATGGAATATTCGGAAAACACATGAGACCTGACAAAAGTTTCCAGTTTCCCTGATAGGCAGCATAAACAATTGGGTGCAAACAGTGTCTACTGGATAGACCTATATAAGATATGTTCTTTGACCTTTTTTCATTCAAGATATTCGTCCAGATTTCACCTATACTTTCATTCAAATTACTGAAGTACTTTTCAAGTGTTGGCACACAAACAGCTTTAAGTGTATTTACAGCGTTAACGTCCCCTTTCCTTAAAATCATGGTAGCGGTCACAATGTTTAACTTAGGGTCGAGAACAGCATGCTCAAGAATGGATTTTCCATTTTCATCTTTAACTTCGTCAAGGTTCGAAATCTTATCTAACACATTCTTAAAATTTACATTAGTGTGGCTTTCCTTATCATTTAAAAATACTTTTAAAATATTAAACAATATGAGAGGGCTACTTTTTCTAACGGCATCATTTTCTACTAAGAGATTCACAATGTCTGTACCAGGAGTATTCTTGACCTGCTGATTTTGATGAACTATTTTAATTCTGTCGATTTCATTCATACATTTGCCTGATTCTACGGTTAAAGAACCTTCATTGTAGATATCAAGAGAGGCCATCAGCATGTTGCAATTGTCAACAAAGCACATTCCTACATCCGCATTACTTTCTACCAGATACTGGATAATGTTTTTATGCTTCTTATAAATTGACCAATACAATGGCCACCCAAAGAATTCATTTACGTCAGCTCCACAGTGTTCAACTAAAAATTTGACGAGCCTGAGATTTCCAATCTCACAAGCAAGTGACAATGACGTATGCTTTATTGTTTGTACTTTCATTAAAGCTTTTCTTTGTTCAAAATTACAAAGAGCTAGTGCAGAAACTAAATATTTCTCAGCATCTTTTTCAATACGTCCATTTAACCTCTTTGTTGCTGTTATCCAATAAAAAATCATTGATTTCATCGTGTCAAAGGTTTTGTAATCTACCCCATCCCCAAAACAAGGTTCTTCATCATATTCATCACCATAATCATCATCATCATATTCATCACCATAATCATCATCATATTCATCGTCAAAATTTTCATCAGTATATCCATAATCCACTTCATCTTCAGTCTGGATCTTCTGATTATCAATGTCTTCGATCTCTTTCTTATGACAGCCATCAACAACAACTTCTCTACTTCTATTGTCATTGTCACTTTCAAAGACATTAGACTGGTCAATTTCCATCTTTCTATTTCAAATCTTTCATTATCTATATAATGTTCTATATCAAACGCAATTCAACTATTAACTTCGAAAAATTGCTAATGTGTATGTACCTAAAACAAAATAGAAGTATTTAGTTCTCCTATTTTCTACATCTTGCATAAACCTTATTTAATATTTAACAACTCTTTTAGGATACAATTTAATATTAACTGAAACCTTGGCTTTGGAAAAATTGAAAATAAAGATTTATAAATTTAATGCATACAAAGTGCTTTTCTGGGTTTACTTTCAGTTTCATCAGGAATGCTGAAAGTCAAATATTTAAAAGCTAAAGATGTTTAAGTAACTATACACGTGAAGAGTTATATGATCAAAAGGGTCTTAAAATAATACCCAAATCCATCATATATGTATATATGTTTTTTTAGAATAGGAACTTAAATAATAAAAAATAAATCCTGAACAGTTGGGCAAGTATGGACACAACATTCAAGCTTCATACAGCTCTAAATTTGAATTGTGATTAAATATTTGACACATCATAGGTTTCTGACACAGAAATGCATAATGAATGTGGTCTTAAACTTAAAAATTTGAAACTGGACATTTACTTATTACGGTCCAATATCCAAAATCTATATATGGTAAATACAGCATTTCAAAGAAACCCAAAAATACAATTTGTGATGAAATCAAACAAAGTTTAATTTTGGATCCTTTGGAACTCAATGTGGACTAATTTGATATCGAGGTCCAAAAATCCAAAATCTAAATACACAGTTAGATACAGCATATAAAAAAAACCAATATATTCAAAGAAAGTTTATTTTGAGACCTTAATTTGGACCAATTTGAAAACTGGGCCCAAAATCAAAAATCTAAATAATTTTTTAGATTCAGCATATCAAAGAACTCCAAGAATTCAATTTTTGTTAAAATCAAACAAAATTTAATTGTGGACCCTTAAGACCTTAATGTCATGAATGTGGACCAAATTGAAAACAGGGCCCAAAACTAAAAATCTAAATACATGGTTAGATTCCACATATTAAAAAACCTGAATAATTTAATTTGATGAAATCAAACAAAGTTTAATTTTCTACCCTTGGGACCTCAATGTGGAAAAATCACATGGTTAGATTCAGCATATTAAAGAACCCCAAGAATTCAAGATTTTGAATTGAACCCCATTGAAATTGGTCAAGAAAAAATGCAATTTATACAAAGTATTAGAAAAGTATTGTTTTTGGTCCCTAATTCCTAAAAGGTTAGGGCCATAACCCCTAAAATCAATCCCAACCTTCCTTTTTGGTATGGAACCTTGTTGTACAATTTCATAGAGATCAATAGACTTATATTCAAGTTATTGTTTGGAAATCAGAAAATCCTTGTATTTTTGCGCTTTTTGGACCCTTATTCATTTGTACAAAACAAAGTTGTAGGATATAACTTTTTAAAACTTTCATACCTATTAAAACTTGAAAATCATATTTTCTTTTTTCATCTGTATAACATGCATGATGCAAATATCTGAAAAAGAGGAAAACAGCAATCACATATTTTGTTAAATTGAGAGTAAACAAATAATTAGCCACTAGTCTTAGCAAAAATCTTTTACCAGACAATTACCGGTAAAACAAAATACTTGGGTTACCATTACATAAAATCAAACTCATATAAAATAAATGTGGATAGTGTCCACATGTGGACACAGATGATGCCCCCACTTGCATATCATATAGTTATAAAGGAACATAACTGAAGAACGGTAAAAGTGACGCTACCCAAATTTGAACTTTATCTGAGTTTTGTGGTAATAAGCACTGTGTGTAAGTCTCATAACATTTGGTTGAGGCTAACTTAAGTAGAGAACGGAAACGAAAAATTCAACAATTTTTATGTTTATAAAGGGACGTAACTCAAGAATGGTAAAAGTGTTGCCACTAAATTTCGTACTTAATCTGTATTATGTAGTAATAAGCATTGTGTATAAGTTTCATAACATTTGGTTGAGGCAAACTAAAGTTAGAAAACAGAAACAAAAAATTTGTACTTGATCTTAGTTTTGTGGTAATAAGCATTGTGTATAGGTTTCATAATGTTTGGTTGAGGCAAACTTAAGTTACAGAATGGAAACTAAAAATTTTGCAAGGGCATAACTCTAGAACGGTTAAAGTGACGCCACCAAAATTCAAACTTGATCTGTGTTTTGTGGTAATAAGTTTCATAACATTTGGTTGAGGCAAACTTAAGTTAGAGAACGGAAACTAAAAATTTTGCAATTTTTCCATTTGTAAAGGGGCATAACTCTAGAACAGTACAAATGATGCCACCAAAATTCAAACTTGATCTGTGTTTTGTGGTAATAAGCATTGTGTATAAGTTTCATAACATTTAGTTGAGGCAAACTAAAGTTAGAGAACGGAAACGATAAATTCAGCAATTTTTTCCATTTGTAAAGGGGCATAACTCTAGAACGGTAAAAGTGACGCCACAAAAATTCAAACTTGATCTGTGTTTTATGGTAATAAGCATTGTGTATAAGTTTCATAACATTTGGTTGAGGCAAACTAAAGTTAGAGAACGGAAACGATAAATTCAGCAATTTTTCATTTGTAAAGGGGCATAACTCTAGAACGGTAACAGTGACGCCACCAAAATTCAAACTTAATCTGTGTTTTGTGGTAATAAGAATTGTGTATAAGTTTCATAACATTTGGTTGAGGCAAACTAAAGTTAGAGAACGGAAACGATAAATTCAGCAATTTTCCATTTGTAAAGGGGCATAACTCTAGAACGGTAACAGTGACGCCACCAAAATTCAAACTTAATCTGTGTTTTGTGGTAATAAGAATTGTGTATAAGTTTCATAACATTTGGTTGAGGCAAACTAAAGTTAGAGAATGGAAACCAATTTTTGGACGTACGTACAGATGGACAAGGGTAAAACTTAATGCCCACTCAGCTACGGCGGGGGCATAAAAACAAAATAACAGCCTTGATTCAAGGTATTGTATATGGTATACATGTATTAAATAATTTGTAATAAGGGATAGTAGTTCAAGAATGGAATCAATCAACATACTGTGTTTAATCTGCTGGATAACTCAGCCTACATTTATTGTATGTATATAGAACTAGAGGCTCTAAAGAGCCTGTGTCGCTCATCTTGGTCTATGTGCATATTCAACAAACGACACTCTCCAACATTGAAGATGAGAATAGAATTCATGACAAAAATCTCTGATTTGTTGATCTTGTACTGCTGATTATTTACCGTAGTCTGTTTAGTTTCTCTCTATCTTCTTTAGTTTTTGCTCAAAACATAAAAGAGGGCGAATAAAATCCTCATTTAAGCAAATTAAGGGGCAATCACTCCTATAAAGAGTGACAGTATACTTACTATATCGGCTAATTTGACTTGCTAGTAGAACTGACTTGCTGATAATTTTTGTGATTTAAATAACTATTCATCTATTATAATTTTTATCAAATATATATGGCAAAATGCAAAAAAATGGTAAAAATCGTCAATAAAGGGCAATAACTCCAATAGGGAATCAAAGGACAATTTCCTCCATATTGTCTTAATTGTAGATCTTGTCTTGCTGATCATTTTTGGTAATTTAAGTTTCTATCTATCTATTATAATCTTTAAGATACAATGCAAAAACTCAAAAAATTGGTAAAAATCGTCATCAAATGGCAATAACTCTTATTAGGAGTTGACTGAAGATTTTGATCATGAAACTTACTAGTAGAACTTGTCTTACTGATCATTTTTGTAAATTAAAGTTTCCCTCTATCTATTATAGTTTTCAAGATAATAGGCAAAAAACAGCTGCGCCATGAGCACATGATACGCCCGTTGTGTCTTCAAAGAATAAAGTTCAATAACTTCTCAATGTTATATCAGAAATTTATAAAAAAATAAATTATGGGAGGTTATCTTAATAGATATAAATCAGTCATCAAAGTTTAATGAAAACTGCTCAAAGCACTTTATTAAGGATATCGTCCGAAAACTTGAAAATCACCCCTTTTTTACGAATAACGTAAAACGTAAAATCTAAAATTCATGAAAATCAAATTGGAGCTTACAACAATAGATAAAAACAATTTAACAAAGTTTCATGAAAACTGCTGTAAACATTTTTGAGTTATTGTCCGAAAACTTGAAAAATCCCCCTTTTTTTAATAAATAAAACCCCCATAACTAGTAAACGTAAAATCTGAAATTTATAAAAATTGAAAGGGAGATTACGTCAATAGATATAAACATTTCACCAAAGTTTCAGGAAAACTGCTCGAAGCATTTTTGAGTTATTGTCCGAAAACTGGAAAATCCCCCTTTTTGTAATGAATAAAACCCCATTACTCGAAAATGTGAAATCTAAAATTCATAAAAATCAAATCGGACCTCATGTTAATATATATAAACAATTCACCAAAATTTCTTGCAAATTGGTGAAAGTATTTTTGAGTTATTGTCAGAAAACTGAAAAATCACCCTTTTTGTAATGAATAAAACCCCAAAACTCGGAAACGTAAAATCTAAAATTTATAAAAAACGAAAGGGAGCTCACGTCAATAGATATAAACAATTCACCAAAGTTTCATTCAAATTGGTTAAAACGTTTTTTAGTTACATGAGTCCTACATGTTGATGACGGACGGACAGACGGACGGATGGACAACAGTATACCATAATACGTCCATTAAATGGGCGTATAAAAATGAAAAAAAATGGTAAAATTTGTCACTTAAGGGCAATAACTCCTATAAGAAGTCGTCTGACAGTTTTGACGTTTATGGACCAATTGGTAGAACTCAACATTTTGAACGATTTTCTCTTCTTATAACGGTTTTCAAAATAATAGACAAAACTTGCACTTTACCCGTTCTTTTTTTAGCCATGTCCACCATCTTGGTTGGCAGGTGGGGTCCTCGGACACATTTTTAAAAAAATAAACACCCAAATGATGATTGTGGCCAAGCCCAGTAGTTTCAGAGGAGAAGATTTTTGTAAAAGTTAACAACTCCTACAAAAGTAACTGATAAAAATTTCTTGGGTATATGCAAATCTACTACATACAGTGTATTATGTCCTCTTTAACTACAAAGTTTCATGAAACTCTGTTTTGTAGTCTTGAAGATTTGCTTATGTCCAAGTTTCATAACAATCCATGAAGGTTTTCAAGTTGTAACATGTCAAAAAAGTTTAATACAAGACTGTCTGTAAATGTTAACTGTAAAAAAACTAAGTCCATCTTTCAGAAAAATCCTGAAAATGAAAAAAAAAATATTTTCAAAAGTTTGCTTCAGACATTATCTTTTAATCATAAAAAAGCTTCTGCCAAATATTTATAAAATTATTTGAAGGTTTGATAAAGTCATTGACGTGTACAGTAACAAACTTTAACCCCGGACTGTACTTGTTTGTTTGTTAAATGTAAAAAAAACTAATTCCATTTATCAGTAAAATACGGAAAAATGAAAATAAATAATTTCCAAAATTTTGCTCTGAATACTGTATTTTGGTCAAAACTAAGCTTCTGTCCAAATTTCTTAAAATTCCATGAACTGGTTTGACAAAGTTATTAATTTCTAAAAAAATGTTGACACCCAATGACTGACAGGTCAAAAACATTATACACCAACTTTTTCTTGGGATATAATAAATAATTTAAACTACCATACAGAAAATGTTGTTGAAAATGTGGTAATATTGATTTAAGGTGAATTGAAATGAGGGAGTATTTAATATAACACTTTATATTCAGGATAATGACTGATATTGGATATTATTTGTGAATATTTTATATATGTAATAAGTATTAAACAATATTAAACAATGAGTGTTTTAAAATTTCTAAATATTGGCAAACAGGAAGCAGCTGCATGACAAATATAAATTGATTACTTGTTGGTTAAAACTGAAAATAATCAATCAATCTGCAGACAAAAAATAAAATTATTTCTTTCAGTACAAGACGAGAAAAGTTTGACAAAATTTTCCTTGTACAATGAGTGCTGTAAAATTTCAAACTATCGACAAACAGGAAGAAAATTCACATTTAATGTAAACATGGTAAAAATTGCTTACTCACTACAATTCAACATAAGCCTTTCCACTTGATGTGAACTACAAAAAGTCTGACAAAATTTTCCCTGTACAATAAGCATGATAAGTGTTGTATAATTTCAAACAATTGGCAAACAGGAATTGGCTTACTCGCTTCAACTAACATTATCAAGCTGCTGACCAAACATCAATCCTTTTTATAGAAGGCAAGAAAACTTTGACGAAAGTATTCTATCCAAGTTCTTTCTGTAAGACGGAGTTGAGTGGTAAATAGACCTGCTTTCGCCTTTAGTGACGCAGGTAAAAAAATAGGGTAGGTAAGTAGCGAAATTTTTTTTTTTTAACCAAGATAAATTTGTACCGGTAAATTTCAGAACAGAGAATACTCAAAACCAATACCAAATGAGCATTACAGAAACATTTAAGCAGAAAAGAAATCTACATTGTTCATGTACGTGTAGATACATCCTTATTATTTGGTTATTGTCTGATTCAAACAGTGATAGACATGTAGCATGTTTAGCCCACATCTCCAAATATGTTTCAATATTGCTAAGACACTTGGACATGTCTATTTAGGTTGAATAATTATAATATTTATTTCCCTTTTAATAATATATTTCATAGAGGGGATAGCCTGTATCCCTGCACTATTAAGGTTCATCAAGCTTCTTTGTGATCATCATTTTGCAGGATAAATAAGAAATAATGTTTGTTCCGTAGGTACTTAATCACAATTCCCTGATGACAGCAGTGCTGATTATCAACTATAAGAATTTAATTTAATTAAAAGGTTTGAATAATCTCCCCTTAATTTTCTCCAAAAATTTACTTGTATAATTAATTTTTTTTCCAATCCTAAAATTCTCAAGTTTTGGGATGTAAAAACATGCCTTAAACAATTTTTCTCTGGTTAGCTCATAATTTTTGATTAGAGTTCAATGTTTCATCTCATTAATTCAACAAAGAAACTAATTGCGTAAGACAAATGAGATTTTCATTGTCCGTGAAATTACACTTAAATCATGTAAATGATTAGTAAAGACATCTGCAAAGGACAGACAATTCAAAATTGTATTAGAGCAAAGAAATCCTGAGAAATTCAAGAAAAGAAGATAGTTTGACTTTTTTACTTGTATAAGTAAAAAAATTTGAATGTCTAAGGAACATTACTTAGCCATTCAAATAATTTACCTATACAAGTAAATAAAATACACTTGTATAAGTATCTTACAAATTTACTTATATAAGTATATTAATATTTACTTCTTCAAGTAAAGAAAAATAACTTGTACAAGTAGTACCCCTGACTGAATACACCTAATCGCTATTTATTCCACTCCGGATAAGTTCTAAAATTACACAACTTTTTCATCCAGTTGAAGCTATCTGGGGCCCTGTTTAAACAATGCACCATGCATGATACTTTGATCATAATCTATCAAAGTTTCGTATTGATCACTTTCTAAATTTTTCCCTCCCTCAGCTCGTTACTGATGACCTTTGTTGTTTACCTGTTCAAGGCCTGTTGACCCAAACAGGAAGTTGTCTAAATGACTGTTTTTTTCTGGATTGGACTAAATAGCGATAAGGTGTATTAAATAAACATAGAGATGTTGATGTTATTATATATTCGTCCACCAGGTAAGCTATTTTTTAGAATTGCAGAACTGTGAGCAAAATTTTTTTTCATTATATTCGTGTTTGGCTGAATAACTATCAAATTATATTTTGAGACAGACCTTTTAAAAATTTCTTTCATAAATTTCAGAGTTTGAATGCAACTTTTTCAGATAATCAGGAGTTTTAACGTGCGAGTTTTTTAAAAATTTTAGTTCTAAAATTAGATTATGATATGAAATTCTGCATCAAAACTTTAACCAATTTGATCTGTCAAAATGGCCTTTTGATTGTGTAATTTAGACTAAGAAAGAGCCTCAGGCATCTAAAATGATTAATTCTTGCTCAAGTTTTTGAAGTTTTATTAATCTCTGGGGCATTATGCATTAAAATTATCCCATACTGTCTTACAGTAGTCAAATATTGGAAGAATTGATATTTAAAAAAAATAAGTAACCTTGTCATTGAAGTTGAACTACTACTACAAGTGAATCATGGTAAATTATGCACTAAATGGTTTTAGAAATTTGATTATTTGCTCATTCAAAGTAAGGTGATATTCTATTTTAATTTTTAATACCATTTGTATATTTTGGCACTGTTGCCGTCGGTGTTCAGCTATCATATCACTTACATACACAAAAACATATGAAATACCTTAAAATATTGAACAAATATTATTCGACCAGGATACACGAAGAATGGGGAAAGAATCGATTAAATGTTGCTAGTGTTAACATTTGTCACGTATTTTCCTCCTATTATGGAGCACGTATCACCTGGAATCTTGGCCTACTGATCTCCGAGAGTGCGCTCTAGTTATACTTCAGTGATTCCCTATATATTCAACCAAATTTTTCATACGAAAGGGGGGCCCGTGCCCTCCACCCCCCTGGATCCGCCTATGTCATAGCTAGTGATTTTCAATGTAACTTATTGATATTTGATTTAAGTGGAGATCGACGTTATCAGAACGTTTTACCAATCAAATAAACAAAATAATAGCTGTAAAAAGTTGTCATTTACTTACAAAAATTGTTCTTTGTGGAAGCTTAATTATTAACGCGACATTTTTTTTTATCTTTACAGTTTGCGTAATTTCCCAAACTCTTGTGTTATTTCGCAAACATTTTGCGTATTTTAGTAAACATTTACGCATAATTTCGCACATATTTTGAAGTATTTGGCCTTTGCATAATGTTACAAACGTTTGCGGTATTTTGCACTTTACGTACTTTTACAAAATACGAGTTTTTTTAAAAAATATTTTGCCTTAATTCTCAATGTTTCCGATGTTATAATTCTAGTATTCACCACTTATTGTTAAATTGGTCATATCTGGTAAACAATTAAGCGTCGCATACATCGGTTACCTATACGTACTTTTATTAGAATACATTTCTTATACTGTTTTATTGTTGGACAGGTGGGTTGTTGGAAAAATAGGCTATCTGATTAAGGGACAAAAACAAAGGCTGTCATGCCACTGGGATTTTTCAGTAGACAGGAAATACGAAAAACAAATCAATTAAAAATTGATATATCTCCTAACCGAGTCTCTGTGGTTTAAAAAGAAATCTGATGAACAAAAGTATTTTACGAACTTCCTTGTTGAAACCTCTATCATGAATTGCAGTTTAAAAAAAAATTAATCCGAAACAATGTAGTAGCCAGTATTTTTAAATGCAACCTACAAATATTCTAGATATAGGCATGTTCAGTGCAATTATTACATAAACTAATTTAATATATAAATGATGACAGATACAGAAATATAGTAAAACATATTTTATTCCACTGTTTAAACACATTGATAGTTTAATCAATATTTGATTGGTTGAGACTGAAAGAGGGACGAAAGATACCAGAGGGACAGTCAAACTCATAGATCGAAAACAAACTGACAACGTCATGGCCAAAAATAAAAAGACAATCAGACAAATAATAGTACAGATGACACAACATAGAAAACTAAAGACTAAGCAACACGAACCCAACCAAAAACTGGGGGTGATCTCAGGTGCTCCGGAAGGGTAAGCAGATCCTGCTCCACATGTGGCACCCGTCGAGTTGCTTATGTTATTACAAATCCGGTAAATAGTCTAATTCGGTAAGTCACATTCGTGAAAAGGGAAGGGTATTGTAGTTACGACATAAGGAACATATCCGATATCATCTGTGAAACGGTTATTCCATAACGGTCAACCAACTCGTGATGGCGTCCGTAAAATTTACGAAGGGATGACTTCAACTTCACCATTTGGAACTCTTGGTTTAATAGCTTCCTTGTGAGCAGCAATCCTCTATCAAGGAAATCATGATAGGAAACACAAGCCCGGGAATATCGTATCAATTGGGAGATATATACTCCGTATGCAGGCGCTGCTGGAATGTTGCTACATAGAAATGGAAAGTTCACAATTGGGAAGCTGAAATCATCTCTTTTGTCGTAAAGTTTTGTTCTCAACCGACCCTCATTGTCAATTTCTAGATGTAAGTCATGACTGACCTACGTGTCATTGAACAAATCTTCATATTCCATTCTGAGGATCATATTCCCCTCTGAAATGTCGGGATTACTTCGTGCGACGTTACGCGCGGTTAATGTACATAACGTTTCGAATATCCTGGTTCCCGGTACTACGTTCCAGGTATTAGCTGATAGCCATACGCTGTCACGAGTATTGGTATATGTGTAACATACTGAATATTGCGATCGGGAACCAGTCTACGTTTCGAACTTCTTATTCTTCTTATAAAATAGCGATAGCAAAAATAATTATCATGTTCAAATTTATTTCAGACGATAAAACAAAAACACTTATAATTAAGTTTTGATCCATTCTGTTTATCAATGGGTATGTCGTGTTTAGTTTGACTTACAAAAACAAGCGGATAAGAAAAAAAATGTATGCAAAATAATATTTAATGTATTGATAGTAAACAAAGCATAGGCAGTGGAATAAAACATTCATTCCCCTTTGCCTCGGGAGATATGAAGATTTGCTCACCCTCGAAAAATCATATTTCCCTCGGGCAGGGCCCTCGTGAAATATGAATATTCTTGGGTGAACAAATCTTCATATCTCCCTCCGGCACGGGAAATAAATGTATAGTATACTAGACCAAGAAATTTGTTTACCGATTATACGTCCATACATATCTATTGTAATGAACAGTTTTGTCTTGTTTTATTAGACAAAAAGATTGGCAAACACACCTTCTATTCTGCAACATTCTCGTATCACTGAAAATTATAAACATATCTCTGATTTGATACGAAACGCCTCGGTGGTCTCGTGGTAGCGTTTTCGCCTCTAGTGCGCCTGGGGAGGTCGTGGGTTCGAACCCCGGCTGGGTCAAAACAAAGATTGGTATTTGCTGCTTCTCCGCTATGCCCGCGGAATAAAGGAGTAAGAGCAAAGACTGGTCGGCTCGGAGTCCGAATAATGTGTTCGAGTACTCAGTAAGTTGACACGTCTTCCTGCGGACTTGTGAACTAGCTCATTAAAAATCCGGCTTAGCGTGTCGATTTTGAACAAAGCAGGGTTAATATACATATTACATAAACATGTTCTCGTCCTGAATATGCATATTAATTTGCCGCTGGACGTTAAGCAGCCATCCATCATCCTCATCATCTGATTTGATCCGATTTTCGGAACTTGCATTTCGTATGGTTATTACATTGAAAGGAGTTTTGTTTCTGAGCAATTCCAAGTGGATTTTAATGGAAATGTTGAGGTCACTATTTCGAAAGTTTTACGGACCGGTTCTTATTGACATAGCTGAATGTCACAAAATACCTATATGTCAGTCTAAGATGACTATGGACATGTGTAATTTTTCGTTATCACAAACTCATTTGCATTTCCGCTTTTCATTAAATGTCCATTCGAACGTACGATGTTACTCGCCATGAGCAACACGATGGATGCATGCCATATGGAGAACACGAACGCTTATCAGTCGGGAGCATTTGGATTCCCCTCGGATTTTGAGTTTTGTTCAATCTTTAGTTTTTCTGTGTTCATGTTTTACGGTATCTATACTTCCAAAATAACGAGGTCCAATTTGTTAGCCGGCATGACGTAAAAATGACGAATCAAAGAATTCAACTTTATATATAACTAATATAGGACAATGGTGTTGTTCAAAAATTACACCATTCCAGGCTCTTTTGTTTTCCAAATAATAAATAAGACCAATAATTAACAAGTTCCAGGTCGAATCTGATACCGATACCAATAGTATATGACTCATGTTGCCGGTTACATTCTGTAAATCCATCTTCTATCAAGTTCCATGCAGTAGTTGTTTTATATCTATGTGATACTATAGTACACTATTTAACAAGTCTGTTTTCTTCCACCTCAATACTACTAATAATTTTGGTTAATATTTAGTTTATAGTAGGTTTATTGTAGTAAGAAAACCAGGACGGGTTCAAACAGAAAAAAATTTGAAAGCAGAGAAAGCTGTGCACCTTACAATCAGCATGACTTTATCAGAAGACAATACGAATACTTAAAAACCAGGCTACGATAAGGCCCGCAATGTCGCGAGTGAGTTCCAGTACAATTATACAGTACAATTATATAAAGATAAGAAGTGATGTAACCAATGTAAAAACTATTCGCAAAAGACAAAATGGCGTAGATGAAGGCAACTATAGGCCGCAGTACGACCTTCATCAACGAGCAAATCTCGTGCCGTATGGTAAGCTATAAATGCTCCCGACATGACGAAATGCCAAATAAGAAAACCAACGGCCTGATTTAAGTTCAAAACAACAAACGAAAATAGAAATATATAGACAGCGATCAACGATCAACGACAAAAACCGAATAGCAAGCTCCTGACTTGGGACAGGCACATCCAGAATGTGTTTGGTTTAAACATGTTCGCGAGTGCTCAAACCTCCCCTTACCTGGAATTTTGTATAGCAGCACAACATAAAAACGAACTTTAAAAATCAGTTGAAAAAGGCTTGACTCGTCAGGTCGACACAAAATTCAGAAAGCAAATAACAAAAGACTAAAGACACATAAACCGGTCTAAGAACACTCGCTGAACATTACTGAAAGTTAGTTCAAATTTCATACCTCTAATAATTTAATATATAACTTCCTTTCCATACTAAAATATTAAAAAGTACACATCAAAATGATGAATACCTCATACACAGTCTGAGAAAAAAGGCCTTGTGCAATACCAATACATGTATATAAGTATCTACAGGGTGTTGTACCGTAGGTGGTTACATAGACAATAACTGTTTAGTGTCTTTAAATATCAGCTGTATTTGTACGAGGCTGAGAAACGGGTGTAATGCGAGCTTTAGCGAGCTATTACTCCTGTTTCGAGCCGAGTACAAATACAGCTGATATTTAAAAACACTAAACAGTTATTGTCTTTATCCTGAAATAAATTTAGTATTTTGTTTTTGCTTTGAAAGACAGAAAACTCACATTTATTGCCTTTATTTTCGATTTAAAATCCCTTGAGGCCCGCGTAGTAATATTAAAATCACAAATTCAGCTGAAGACGGGTTCGCAGAAAAGAATCTCGTATGGTCAACAATAATACATCGCTCAAAGTAAATAATTACTTATTATAATATAACAACTACTTTCAACAGTTAAAATAAATAACAAAACATTGTCCGATTTGAAACAAAAGAGTATGATTTGTCCTACGCTTCAAAATTTTTCACTGAACGTGACATTCACTGAACATGCTGAAATTGACATTGTTGCATGGTTGTTTTTTGTCTGTTACACGTGTACACATTCAATTGTTTCACTCTATTACTGGCGCCGTAGAAAATGGAGTTAATCCTGCTGTTCATGTTTGTCTGTTAGCAGAAAATGTATTTATTTCATATTGCTCTAAAAAAAAAAAATGCTTGAAAACAAACAGAACGTAAATTAATCTATAATTCACATACGGTCAAGTCATACGTCATTGGAATGCGACTGCATTACACATTCTGAGGTGACGAAGGCTCATACAACACTCGTCAACAGCAATACACAAACGTAGTCCGGCAGTGGGCGGAGCTTTAAAGCGATATCTGTATTATCTGTATAGTATACAGATACAGCCTAGCGATATCTGCTGGGCTGTATCTGTATAATACGACACCCAATTACAGGATAAAACTGTATAGGCATACATATTTAGTTGTGTTTTAATATACCAATGTTTAATACAGATAAGACAATATTCAAAGATCATATTACAGTGATTAATTGATAACCTATTGAAATAAGTTTATTCAAAGGATCGATCGTTACGATTAAATGGTTTGTATCTAAACATGATATGTTTACGGGTTCTTTAACAAGGAATGTAAAACTATATACATATAATTACATTACATGTATGTTTCATTATAGTACCTTATTTTGATTGGCTAACAACAATCTCGCGTCATTCTGAAATTAACCTTCATTTAGAAAAATAAAATGCTACATTTGCATAGGTAAATAAAAGAAAAACTTGATAGAAATCGTGTTTTCATGGTCCTAGCAAAAGAATGTAATTATAAACTATCGATCGTTACGTTTCATACAAAATGTACTTCGGTCAACACTAAGCCTTTTACACCCCAATAAATTTACAAAAAGAAGCATTCAAATTTTAAAATATTGCAATATGGCATCGTAAATAAATTGTATAAACATTGATGAAGTCAAAATGAATTTTGAAGCGTGTTTGTAAGCCTTTTTTGGTTAATGAATCTGAAAGCGACATTTTTACAAGGAAACATTTATCAATCAATGAAAACGAAATTGATTATTTTAAAAGATAAAGACTTTATTCCAATTACCGTGTGTATATTTAATCGTAGAAAGCGGAGATCAAAATGTAATATTCTCAAGTCATGAATGATGATTGCTTCAGGATATTAAGCTATGGGAATTCGTTTTTAGATTTCATTCCCTCGTTTCCATTTTTTTTCCAAAATTCATAATTAAAAACATTCTCTTACATTTGTAGGGCTTGGTGAAACCAACAAAATAAATATAATAAACATGATGTAGATTAAGATCAAATTTTAAAGTTTTTCTATTTAATTAAATGGTCGTTCGATAAATCTGATTGCAAATTTATTTGCTGCAACTCATATAAAGCCTTTTTCTGAAACGAGAATTTGATGGTAAATATGCTAGATATACTTACTGGAGGTGTGATGACAGGATTGAAGCCATACATTTTCCCCTTGACAACATTTATGTACGTTTCCGCAATAAAGTTTATCGACAGATTGTAGGAATTCCTATGCGAACCAATTGTGCACCTTTAATAGCAGACTTGATCCTTTACTGTTATGAATCACAGTTTATGGCCAAACTCAGTAAAAACCGTCTAAATTCCATTAAATTGATAAATTCAACAATACTTACCGTTATCTTGATGATATTTTTTCGTTAAAGAATCAAGAATTCCATAAATATACTGCTGAAATCTACCCACAGGAACTTACCTTCAATAAATCAAATATTAACATCAATAAGTGTCCTTTCCAAGATTTAGACATTTCAGTTTTACACCAGAAAGTCTACACAAATATTTACGACAAAAGGGCTGATTTTTCTCTCCCTATTGTTTATTTTCCGTTTTTGGACGGTGATGTTCGGATCCTCTGGCACCGTCTTATGGTGTTTATATATCCCAACTCGTTCGCTTTACCCGTGTCTGTAGTAACGTTTTGGATTTTAATGAGCGTAACTTATATATTACTGGTAAATTATTAAGTCATGGATTTTCACAAATTACTTAAAACCTTTACTAATTTCTTCAAAAGATACAAAGATATGGTTTGCAAGTATGGCTGTACCTGTAAAAAAAACTCATTTCAGACGGAAAAGCACATCCTAAATTTTTTCGTAATATTGTTTACCGAGCAATAAGATCTTTGTTTTTATTGGTTTAGATATTGATTTTGTTATCAGAAAAATAAAACCATATTAAACAGTATTGTTATACACATATGCACTTTAGAGGCACTACAATCTGTCGATACCTTTATTTTGGCATTGCACAAGGTCATGTTTTTCTCTGACTTTAATGACGTCTTAACTATAAATCTATTGGATGTTGGATGTGTACTGATTGATATTTTAGTCTTAGATACATGATTTTTTTTATTAGTTGTTATTGGCTTTGAACTAGCTGTCAGTAACTGCGAGTACTCACAGATCTGTACTTGGTGTCTTTTTTGTTGTTAGGGATTAGGGATGGATAAATACCCTGCCACCTCTGGTCTGTGTTTTTGTTTGATGCCTTTTTCTGCTTTGTATCGATCTGATGACTTAAGCCTTTTTCAATTAATTTTTATAGTTTGTTCTTTATGTTGTGCTGTTTCACCACTGTCCCAGGTTAGGTGGAGGGTTGAGCAAACACAAATATGTTTAACCAAATATCAAATGAAGTGGATGTAAGGAATTATAGGCAACCGTACGGCCTTCAACAATGAGAAAAAAATCCCATACTATATTGTCGGCTATAAAAAGCCCCGACATGAAAAATATGAAACAATTCAATTGAGAAAACTAACAGCCTAATTTATAACAAAACAATTTACGAAAAACAAATATGACAGACATGAACCAAGTTGAACGACAACCACTGAACTACAGGCTCCTGACTTGAGACAGGCACATGTAGAATGTGTCGGGGTTAAACTTGATTGTTGAAAAGGGCTCAACTCATCAATCGATACAGCCAATCTTGCATCTTTCATCTTTGTAAACATGTTTATTATATATTTATATTACATCGCCTTTCCTAGTTAAGACGCGAGAAAATTAATAGACGGCGGAAAAATGCTGTTCTTCTGAGAAGCACAAGTTTTACAGCGTCACAAATATGAAATGTCAGGCTGGTTTGGCGCGACAAAGCCAGAAAAAAACCTCTAAGATAATACTCAACATTTTAAACATATTCAAGCAGTTTTCGTCATAGTCTCAACTGACCTGCGGGATGGATACTAGTATTTTTAGATTTATTAAAGATAGATGTTAAAGGTAAACCCGGAATACAATCTGTGGCTCAAAACCTTGTTGTTAATTGTCATTAATCATTATACACATAACTTTCATTTCTGCATCATATCGCATAGTAAAGAAACCAAGTAATACGTGTTTTGTTAACAATATATTAAAGAAAAGCAACAGTAGTATACCGCTGTTCAATAGTCATAAAATTAATCGATTAAGCGAAAACAATTCCGGGTTACAAACTTAAACCGAGGGAAATAAGGGGAACACAACGGAACAACAGAAACACTGAACTGCAACAAAAACAAACGCCAACATACATAGAAACGGACTAACTAACTACTGCCATATTCCTGACTTGGTACAGGACATTTTTTCTGTTGAACCTGGTTTTATGGCTAGCCAAACCTCCCGCTTATATGGCAATGTTAAAAATACCGCTAAAATGACAACATTACGTGACAGGAATACAGTACAAATAAATAATATAATAGTACATTACAACATGTAAACCGCAGAATAACAACAGATATCTCCCTTTATTGTCCGAAAATCCTAATTGAAAAAGTTCCCAAAAGTCAAAGGTTTATGTGATCCTCAGAGACATGAACATCCAAAGTACTTATATATAATCGGAAGCAACTCAACTCGTACCATATCAACTCGTACCACTAAAAGTCAACTGGTACCAATGTTAACTCGTACCACTGCGAAGTTGGACCATTGCGAACTCGTACCACTGCTTTACTAATTATCTCCTTATTAATATCTTAAATATTAGTATTTAGTATAAAAGAATGTTTGGTTCCTTCCTCCTCCCCTAACTGACATGTAACCACACCCCTTTTTAATAGAATGATCCTTGATCCACTACTGATTAAACTAAACGAATCAAAATATGCTTCTGTGATTTACCTCTTCCGTTCGAACATTTCATAAAGACAAAAAAACAAATACTACTATATACATGGTAGAAATTACATGAATTTAGTGGTGGGGTCATGGCATAATTAAGAAACAGCGAGTAAGTTCGAAATATTCAAAACTAATCAAAGGACAAAAAAGGTCTACTCATGCCATACTGTTTACACAAGCAAGATACACATAATATGAAAATATATATAGTCACATAAACTTCTCCAGTCTTGTATTGGGGAAGGGAATCTGTTTTAGACACAATCACGTCTGATCGAATGGCATTCATTAAATGTATAATCCAGTACGGTGCAAAACACATTTATCTTTTTTTGTTATCCCTTTCGACCCTCTATGCCCACAGAACCTAGACAATTGATCACATGTTAAATACTAGTATGTTAACTTCTTAAATGTGGCTGAAATGTTTGATATTTGGCTTGAAAAAGCAATTGCTAGTAGTGTATATGGAGGTAGAACATTTATTTGATTCATTTGCCAGCCATCATATCTTGGCTTTATCCGAGTAAACAGCCCATCAGATCTTTTGATTATGTTTATTATGAAATAGCATATTGATTGTGATAGCTAAATATTATATATATAAACTTCAAATTTTCTAAAATGGTCATAAACAATTCTAAACTTATAAATAAATTTCCTTTTTAGAGACAAATTATAAATACTAGTACCACAATATATTCAAGTTAACTAATTTGCAATGATTAAACATTAAATCAAATATTTATCAGTAAAGGTTAAATACTGGAACTGTTCAAGGGAGACAACAAAGCCAATCTGCTAGTTTTCTTCATCCAATTAGACAAGGAACAATCAGCTACAAATTGGTAATCGTGATTTCAAATAATATACTTTTTACAGACTTATGAGTTATTTAGTGAAATTCAAATATTTATTCGTGCATTTAAACAAGTTGGTACGAGATTGCAATGGTACGAATTTACCGTGGTTCGAGTTTGCTTTTAGTGGTACAAGTTGACATTGGTACGAGCTTGCAATGGTACGAGATACATACAGTGCAGTTAAAATCCAAAGTTTTTGTAATCTACAACTAGCAATATAATATTCAAGGAATATCAAGATCCAATTTGCCCATTTATACATGTATCAATCACTTCTATCCAAAATTTGAAATGTCATCAGACCTACTGAAATATTCCAATGTATGGCTTCATGTTGGGTCGTAGAATGCATGCGATGTTGTTTAATATCCTTGTTCATACTTTTAGATATTTACGTATATGTAACTAATTATGCCACCAAAATTGTAAACATTCTCAAGTGCAGAACAATTTATATACTGATCTACTGGTCAGCAAGTACCATAACGTAACGTTCACTTAATACATATGCACTCATGATGCAGCATACTCCAGTGAATAAAATTTCAGAATATCACAACAATTGATGTTTTCAGAATGATAATGCATTCTGGGTAATATCTTTAAAACATGTAATACACAAAACGTCGTGATTGGTTAAAGACTTCCCAAACAATGGACAATCAACCAATAATGTGACTTCATTTTCAGTTCAGAGTACGAACAATAAAATTATCCACAATAATTTAGATTCTGAAACAAGGAATTCCAAGACAACATTGAATAGGCACTGACCTAACAGCTTAAATTACCGCCTCGTTAAAAACAGATATAAGTTTAAAATGTCCGACATTACTATTAAAGCAAGAGGTACACACATAAAAACAATCGCACCAAATCCCATAGATTTTGACGATTTTCTATCATCTGGAGCTGAAGTAATTGTCCGGATGTATTTCGAGGAAGATTTCATTTCTACTAATAGTTCCTTTTTTATTGCTTCTATTTCATCTGCTAAGAAAACCGCTAACTCTTCTTTTGTTAAATTTTGTGACTCAAGATTACTCCATTTTCCCATCTTTGAACATGGACATAAACACGATGGCATTGTTGTCGGCTGTGATATGCGGTCAGTTATCATCCGTGATGATGTGCGTTCAGTTGTCATCTGTGATGTAAGACCAGTTGTCTTTTCTGTTTGTGTTGTAATTGCAGTTTTCACATCTAAAAAAATAACATTAGATAACAAGAAACATACAGCGAAAAGGGGTTTGGAATTTGCCAAAGTAGCGAAAAAGATATTACATACAAACTTTATTTCCATGCATTTACTTGTAGAAGACAACTTCATAAATTCGCTATGAATGGTCAAATGTGAAATATTTATACCGACTGCAAATGATTTTTTTATTTAGATTTAGGACAATGGTGTTGTTTAAAAACTACTCCATTCCAGGCCCTTTCGTTTTCAAACTAATTAATATTACCAATAATTAACAAGTTCCGGGTCGATTCCAATACCGTTACCAATAGTTTAAGTCATATGTAGTTTCCGGTTGTAGTTACCCGTTACCTACTGTAAATCACTCCTCTATTATGAGAACCTGGAATTCTTCCAGTAGTTGTGTTATATCTATGTGACACTATAGTACACGTTTTAACAAGTTTGTTTTCTTCCACCTCAATACCACAATTAATTTTGGTTAATTAGCTAGAATTAGCTAAACATTTAGTTTATACGCTTATTGTAGTAAAACAGGAATGGTTCAAACAGAAAGATTTTGAAAGCAGATAAAAGTGTGCACCGTACGATCAGCATGACTTTATCAGATGACATTACGAATACATGAAATCCAGGCTAAAATTAAGGCATAGGTACTTTAATTCAGTCACGGACCCGCGAAGTCGCGGGGTTGTAATAGTATCATTCAAAACTGTAAACATACAGCACTTGTCTTCAGATTTTCCTTTTTTATAAGGAGAATAATGAAATTTCATCAATTTAATTTGCTCTTTTGTCATCAAATAAATTCTTTTTTCACGGAAATCATGTTGGTAAAGGATATACAGGCGATTCTTCCCTTTTTTTCCTATCTCCACTAACTTTTCTTCGTAGTTCTCACGACAAAAAAGGGGACAGTCAAACTCATAGATCGAAAACAAACTGACAACGCCATGGCCAAAAATAAAAAGACAAACAGATAAATAATAGTACAGATGACACAACATAGAAAACTAAAGACTAAGCAACACGAACCCCACCAAAACTGGGGGTGATCTCAGGTTCTCCGGAAGGGTAAGCAGATCCTGCTCCACATGTGGCACCCGTCGTGTTGCTTATAATATTACAAATCCGGTAAATAGTCTAATTCGGTAGGTCACATTCGTGAAAAGGGAAGGGTATTGTAGTTACGACATAAGGTGCGTGTATCATATTTAATATTCAAAATGAAGCTATGCTAGGAAGTCGGGTAGTATAAAAACCACCTACATCAAAGGTAATTGTGACTTTCATTCCATTTTTAGCGTAAAACTGTTTTTGTTTTACAAATTTGTCTGGTATGTAAGGTTTTTAAAGTTTGTGACTGCAGCCTTTCAAAATCTCATTGTCCGGTTTGCTCAAGAAAAGAGTCCCCCGTTTTTGTTATTGCCGCGTATCCATTGACTCAAGACTACCAATGTTAGTATAGACAACAAGAAAAAATAGAATAAACCCATAAAAAATGCGGGGAAAGGAATTTGGAAAATTTGGAAAATTTTGAACAAAAGTTGAAAAAAAATGCCGCATTATCTTTGGTCATCACTTCCATTTTATGTGTTTTGAATGTTCCATTGTATCCTCTTTTTGTAAAAGATACGGCATACAGGGTTCCTAATCACTTATTAAATTACTGCCGTCTGACTCTTTGGGGAACTTTAAAACATGATCACGTCAAAATGTAAAGAAGAATTTCAAATGTTAAACCAAGCAGTGAACTTGCCATTTCACTGTCTAAAAGACCGTTGGTCATTTCATTTTCCATGCACACAGATACGTCATTGGTTAAATTTCATTACGTAGGACATTTTTGACACATCGGTGTTTTTATGTACGCTTTTGAAAATATTAACCAGAGAATGCTACAGCTTTCGAAACGGCAAAAAATGTGAGAGAACAGATTAAATATGTTAATTGTTTTATTGTATTATTGTTTAGCTTTTATTTTCTTTTTATTTTGAATTCCATACCTTGTTTATAAAATATCCACTCCCCTGTTGAGCCAAACGCCGTGTAAAATCCAGCATTAAGGATTGGCCCCAACCCATCTGAATTGGTCCATGTCAGAAATATTGTCCCAGCGACAACATCCTCACCATTTCCAACATTAATAGTGTCGCCATACCAACTAATCGAGAACACTTTAAAGACTCCATCGTCTAAAAATGTACCGTGTTTTGAATCGACAGGATCACCTTGTTTAGATGTTCTTATTACTGATTTTGTATTTCTCCAACCACCGATAGCAATTTCATAGAGTTGGTCATTTTCAGTGTTTCCAGAAATAAGTGCAAAATGTACGTCACTTCTAGCTTTCACTTTAAAGCTTATAGATTCGTGTGAAAGGGTGATGCCTAGATTGGACAATATGATGTATTCTTGTTTATTTGGAGTAATATAATGAATATCCTCACCTGAAATGGACAACACAATAATGCAAATTATACTTTGATATGAAATATACTTAATGATTTCGTATTTTTGAATCAATTCACTTTCAAACGAACTAAAGTCGTTTGAATTCACTCACTGATTCAAATTAAGGCAACAGTAGTTTTATCTATGTTTAAATCTTGTAGATCGATTAGAAGAAGGCAAATCAAGTTAAAAATCACAAATTAAGTGAATCGAATAAACTATAAAAGGAGAAAGGCCGGGTGCGTTGACAAAGTAAGAGCCTCTTGCAATTTGTGCATAACCCTCCATGAAAATTCACACTCAGTCGAATTGTCATAATCGATTGTAAAATTACAGATCAGACGATTTTATTGGTATCTTAAGGTTTTAGACCTAAAAAAAACCTCGTCGCCAGTGAGTTGAGACACCGGTACATCGTATCGGTCAACCAATTCGTGATGGTGACCGTTAAAGTATCATATATTGCCGATTTCAGTCGTTTTTCCTCAAAACTCACACCACTGTTAATGAAGTCCGTAAAGTATGAACATGCTTGAACGTAACGTATGTACTGAGATATGTAAACGCCATACGATGAAGCAGAGGGTATATTACTGCCGAGAAAAGGTAAGTTGACAATTTGAAAGTTGAAATCATCACGTATGTCATAGAAAAAAACCGAACTCACGGGCCAACGTAAATAAAACAGGAAGTCCACAATACTTGACTTAATCAAACGCTTGACCATATCAATCAACTAAACGAATGGAAAACAACTGTCATCTTCCTAACTTGGTACAGGCATTTTCGAAGAAAATGATAGGTCAAACCTGATTGTATCTATAGCCAGCTAAACTTCCCACTTGTATGACAGTTGTTTATGGTTCCGTCATATATACAAAAGTGTGGATATGAATTCGTCCATAAGTGGCAAAATCAAGTGAAAAATCAAGATAAGAAGCAAGACCTTCTACTTTCGGTAGCATTCTCACTCTCAAGTTCACAAGGATATATGAGATGTAAGCATTTATTGAAACTGGGGTGTTATTGAGTGACAGAACACCATCAATATATCTAAAAAGTTAAATTAAAGATATTTTTGTCTTTGAGATAAGCCTGACAAATTCATAATTTCTGACTAGTATACAGGTAGATACAAGTCCACATAACACAATTATTTAGGTATTACACGGGGCACATGTTATACCAAATTACCAATTCGTGTAATAAGGACCATAAATACACATTTATTTCTACAGTTTAAAAGTAATATACGACATAGTTTGTCCCCTGGGAAATTCCTGCAAATACGCCAAAAGATCGATAACCACACTGTATTATTAAATACCATAACAATAGTACTGAAGAAAACAATAATAGTTTTAATAGCTAAAAGAAACAGAATGTTTTAGTTCTTTTTATTTGAACATAATTTTTTTCATAATTATACATGTATCAATACTAAATTACATATTTCTTATCAGTTTTCTTATAAAAATTGTCATTTGATTTTAAAACAAAAAGTCTGGGCTCATTGCATATGGTTTTGGACCTTTAAAAAAATTACTAAATGATATAATTTAAATTTAACACATAAGTTAAATCTGCAATAACTTTTTTTCAACTTCAACTGTTAAAAGTTCATAACAACCGATACAAAAGACAACCCAATTATCTTATTTCAAAATTCTTTAGAAAAAGATAATCAAACCATTTGATCCGTCAGTTTGAATATTCCCGAACACGTCTCATTCAGTACTCTTAATTGGTTTTTAAACTTAAATCAAATTTGCAGTAACCTTTTTGACGTTTTATGATTAGGTTAATGCTTGTGGCGCAAATGTGGCCTTAAATTATAATTTTGCTGTACATAGCGATGCACATAAACAATCTGACTGTTCAATATCTTAGAACACAACATTTTTATGAATATGAGTTAAAATATATAATTCAACTTAGTATTATGGTAGAATCTCTCATTATACAAGTCTCATGATGTTCTGACCTCTTCGATCGTTAACTCATATTCGAACAGTGCAATTCTCCTCATTTCGACAATTTTCTGACACCAGCATTGATCTTAAATGTGCTAGTTAATAGTCAATGTTCTGCAGAAATTGTGCCTTAATAGAGATATTTACACTGTTTATGAAAAAACCTAAATATTTTAATGCAATTAGCATTTGAAAAGTGTTCCCTCTCTTCTGTTTATTTTTTATAGCTTCTGAGAAAAATGATATATTCGTGACTGTTGATCAGTTTGTCGTTAGATTGCTGTCGCTTTGACGTATCCACTGCTTTTCCATAAATTTATATTTGAATACGATAATTATAAATGTTGATTTTCTCTTGTGACAAACATAATTAATTCATAAAACTCCATCAAAATATTTTACTTTTTAGGCTTTCTACAAAATTGTAGTAGGAATTATATATGTGGAGACCATATATTGCATTATATTTAAACACTATCATCAATTCTATTAGCTTTAATTAACATTTTACAAAGAAGTACACACCCCTAGAATTAAACAATATATTAGCATGTATTAAAACTGAAAGTATCAAATATGAACTAACTTCCATCAGCACGCTAGTAGATTGTCCGTTTTTATAAAAAGTGATAAAATGTCTAAATAAAAGTTCAGTATCAAGATCAGGCTATATCAAGTGAGACATTGTATTGACTACAAAAAACAAATGTATGATATGCGCTATTGATAACTGCATTTATTTCAAAAATTAATTGAGAAATTAAAATTTTATAAATCGTGGAAACCCAGGGTTTATTTAAGGTCCGTTTCATAACGTAGAACAATCGTTTGAATTTTCTATCACAAACACTCGCAATATATTTATTGAGTTGGTATTTCGGAAAATAAGCTCTCTTTTGTACGGAAGCCATAAAGGGACACACAAAAAATAAAATAAATCCGTTATCTCGGATTCCCTATCCATGATCTCGGATGCCTAATCCGTGATCTCAGATTGATAATCCGTACTCTCTGATTCCCAATCCGTGATCTCATTTTAATTTCCGTAATCTCGGATTAATAATCCGTTATTTCGGATTCCCAATCCGTGATCTCGGATTAATAATCCGTTATCTCGAATTTCTAATCAATTATCTCGGATTGATAATCCGTGATTAAACTTTACTGTTTAGTCCATTTTCGGTTATATCCTTTTGAAGTGGCTCGGTACTTATGCGTCCCGCTACCGAAGCCCATTTAGGACCTCCCAAAAATATATATTTGAATTCAAAATCACGAATTTAAATCGTTATCACGAACTGAAGAATTTGTTATAACAGATTAAATTCGTAATAACTAATTTCCGGAATGAGCTATAACAGTTCTTGTTATTCGTAATATGAATTAAATTCGTTATCACAATCTTGAAGTAATTCGTGATAACGGATTAAAATCGTAATAATGATTTTTATAAATAGTTATAACGGGTTAAATTCGTTATCACGAATTTGAAGAAACAGTAATCACGATTTTAATCCGTTATCACGAAATTTACAATTTGTTATAACGATTTTAAACCGTTATCACGAATTACAAAAATCTGTGATAACGAACTTAATCAGAAATCACAAATTGCAAAAAAATCTGTGATAACAGATTATACACATGCGTGAGATAGAATTCAATCCGTTATTACGGATTACAAAAACTGTTATAACTAATTCCTGAAATTTGTGATAACGAATTAATCCGTGATAACGAACTCTACAATACGTGATAACGATTTTAATTCGTGATTTCGAATTAAATTATATATTTGGGAGGTATTAAATTGGCTTCTGTAAGTAAATCATATCAAACTAACTTAAGCAGAAAGCTTAACACATGAAATTGATAATTGACTCAAAGCCGGTGGACTATAACATAGGAATCCGAGATAACAGATTATTAATCCGAAATCACTGATTAGGAATTCGAGATAACAGATTATCAATCCTAGATCACAGAATATTAATCCCAGATCACGGATTGGGAATCCGAGATAACGGATCATTAATCCCAGATCACGGATAGGTAATCCGAAATAACGGATTATTAATCTGAAATCATGGATTGGGAATCCGAGATATCGGATTGTCAATCTGAGATAACGGTTTGGGAATCCGAGATCACGGACTAAATTTAGTTTTTATGTGTCCCTTTATGGCCTCCGTACAGGCGAGATATAAATTGCAAAAAGAAGTCCAAAAAGTATGCCTTGATAAAAAATTACTTAGATTATCATACTTTCAATTAAACAATTTGATTTTTTGTTGAGAATCAGAAAACTGATTTGCTACATTTGAAAAATTTTTGTCAGGTCACATACACTATTTTAGCAATAAGTATTGTTAGACCCTCTCAATGAGTTCTCCAACATCTTTTTTTTTCTTTTTTATCGACTAGTTAATCCTTTTTTTAAAAGTCTTGGTTTATGTTATCTCCTGTGAAGCTTAAACTAAAAAGTAATTATGATGATAAAAAAAAACCCGCTTTCGTTATTGTTATTGTTGTACTTATCGTACAAAAAACCTGATTAGTGTTCTTTGAAATTGAGTCTGTAGAACTATCGATATTCTCATTTACTTTTCTGCAGATATTAAGTCTTTATCATTCCTTGTGGGCAAACAATCCATATATATAATATATATATTTGTTTTAAGTAAACATGGAGACCAGTAGTGTTGATAAAGTAGAAATCACTGGAGGACAAATAACCGATGTGCTTAAATTGGAAAACATTGGATCTGGGGAATCGGACGTTTTTTTTTTAAATTAATTACAGCGCTTTACAAGCAATTCATCTATATATCGTTGAAAAAAGGTACATCATATCTAAATCTGAGGTAACATTTTAGAAATTTATTGAAATCTGTAAAAAAAAACATTTACTTCCAAAAAGTGTTCAAATACAATTTAAATAGAATGGGACATGTTTGTACGAGATAGAAAAATGATTCATTCTTGAGTCCACAGAAAAAAAATTAACTTTTAGTGTAATAAGGCTATTTTTTATGCTCCTGGAGGATACGTAGATTCTGTTTCGCAAACGAAAGTCTGACCGTGCGCCAAAATGGGTGAAAAGTGTGAAGAATGCTAAACTTCATGCACGTCTAAGACCTCCTTTTCACATTTCCGAAAAGAGTATTTACAGGTACAGGTCGGAGCAGATGAAATATGAATTTTCTGTCAATATCAAATTCTCTTTTGATTCCTATTGGCAGGAAAAATTCGTTCTTTCTTTGTGCAAAACAAACACTCTGCGTTGTAATTTATTTTCATTACATGTTAATTCCGAGGGGGTGGGGGGGTTACTATGTCATGTTCGGTTGTGATGAGCCGCTTTATAATATATGTTAATGATAAGGGCGGTAATATGTTAAATTGAATGATAAGGACGGTAATTAAGATGATACATATGACAGATTACTGATTTTATCAGCTGTTACTGAAACCAATTTAAAGTCGATTTTTTTTTCAGAAACGATTAAATGCATTTTTGAAATCTATATATCTTTCATTGAAATAGCGTCATCATGATAGCTATATAAGCATTTATTTAGTCAAAAATATATGATAGGGTACAAGTATATATATATATATTTCCTATCCAATATATATATGAAAATGGTTGGCTACTAGATATTTCAGCTGCTAAGACTTACTACGAAATGATGTAAGTGCCCCTCTGCCGTTCCCTTTGTTCAATTTGCTCAATACACTCTTTTTGTGTTGCTAGAGCGTAGAACACCAAAATTCATCTAATCAATTATTTGTTTCGTTTGAATAACAGAGTTCCATTTCTTTGTAATATTGTAGTTTTTTTTTAAATAATCCCAATGCGTGATGCATTATCAAAGTTAGGCTTAAGCTAGCTCTTACCCTATTCATTAAAACGTGAAAAAAAAACACGTATCCTGAGCCCGTACCTCTGAGTTCTATTATTGGACACCAGAACCTAGACAAGAAACTAATAATATACTGAAGCCAATAATGTTGCTCCAGGAGCCCAATGATTAAGATAGTGATTGAAACTAGAGCTCAAAGCCGTGTTATCACACAATATTTTGAAGATAATGTTGGACAATGTGTTCAAGATATGAATTAAACTTATAAAACAGAGAAGCTGATACATAGATTAAGAAACTAATAATTTAAACATTTAAGATAACAATTTTACGTTCTGTTTAAAATAGATACTTTATTTCATATTTTAATTACATATTTCATTAGTTAAATATACTCACTATTTGTTGTTAACATTTAAGAAAACAATTTTAAGTCTGTTGAAAACACTATATTTCTAATTCAAATACACATATTTCATAATTAAATATACATTGTACTCACCATTGGTAAGACACAAAGATAAGATGATCGAAGTTAAAAACATGTTTTATAATATTGAATAACTTCCATCATTATAGTTTTTCGAGCTTAAACGTTTATAACACGAAACGGTATCGATAAAGGAATATTACTGGGAATATGATATGAGATAAATTAATAATGAATATACAAAAATCATTGTACCGTCAAATGACTGGTAAAATCTGAAATAACAAATGATTAAAACCTGGTTAAAACAATTCCCCGAGAAGAAGAAAAACTACAAAAAGGCCCCTAAAATACAAGTTGCTAGAAAAAATACTGGTCCAAAGGTCACCAAAGATACCAAATTTACAATTAAGTTCATATTTAGATATAAATAAATAATTTTTCTTCAGTAATGCACAGAATTATATATTTGAAAAAAAAAAAAATAGAAATAAACACAAATGTTAAAAGTCTAGCGCTTTCATCCTCCACAGGACATATCAAGACGATGGTAAGTGTTTCTATATCGCACATAAGTTGAATGGTCGGTGATCGGAACAAGTAAATTTTAAAGATGAAAAATATGACCACGATTATTATTAAAATCATTTGGTTTTTTTTATAACGATTTCTTTTATCATGACAACAATTCTCTTCTATTTATTTGACTAACGCACGCGTGTACATGAGAGATACCATGAATGTAAATGAAATCTCCAGAAATCGTAAGAGGTGAGGGACTATGAAAAAGCAATACATTTAAGGCATGTATACATTGTTAGAGATTATTAATACTCTCATTACTTCCTGCAACGAAAGTATATTTCCCTGCAGAAAAGGAAAACTATCAATAAATTACCTTCAGAAAATAATAACTATTGTCTTGCACTTTTACATCGCGTGTCATTACTCATTTAGAGCCAAGGTTGACATGCCTATGTTGAATGTCTAAATGCATTAGCACGTTTAAATGCAAGTTTTGCAGAAAAAAATATATCAAAACTTATTAAGGATTTTTAGTATGTGAGTCAATCTATGTATAATGTTTATGAGCGGCACATACATCTAAACATTGCATACTAACAATAATCTGAAGTTCCAATCGCATTTGTTCACAGCAGCGAGTGCGAGTAGGATAACCTTCCAGTGAACGTCATGAAAACACAATATTGTATTTTGACTTAAAAATTGTCATACATTCGTAGATGACATAATAAAGAAAACCCACTTAGATCTTCTCACTTTAAAAGATGAAACTAATCAGCTACTGTTCTTGATCCAGGGCGATATAGAGCTTGACTTATGTATAGACACTTATCATGACAACAGCCAGATGTTTCTTGTAGTTTTCATATGCTTTTGTAAAACTGAATAAAGATCTATAGAAAGGATAAGTAGTTTCAGCTCCTCAAAACGCAAATGGTTCACTGATCATGCAAAAAAAAAAACTCTGCTGAAAAGTTATGACAGGGGGTTAGATTGCGACTACGACAAATGGAAATATATTTTGTGGTCATCTGTGTACTGTTGAAATTCCGAAGAATTGAAAGATAATCGGAACCAATCGCTAGGTTGTTTCAGATTCAGTTATAAAAAAGAAACACAGAGAAGTAAGCTAGCTGGGATAAGACACCGCATGCATTCACAAAATGAACAGGCTTAAGGATATTCGCCTCAGATTTTCAAATTTTCCACAATATTTCGTAATCCCTGTTTTTTTTTTTTAAAGAAAAACGTTTAATCAAGGATACGTTATTATATCAAAGCATGCATCTGGAATACTTTTTTGATTCATCATTTTCCAACTTTAGTTATTTTGAAGGACGAGCGCATTCTACTGCACACTGGATATTTGTACATTTTGTTACTGCTTGGGTAGTGCGATGATTTTTTAGACATATAATGGGCATGTTAAACACTCTTCTTTATCTTTTCATGTGGTGGGTGGTGGTTGCATAAAAAATCGGTATCCTTCAACCCAAAACTTTGTTTCGCAGTCTTTTACTATTGGGGTATAAGAGTTGTTGTCAGCTTCTCCAATGTCTTCCAGATTGAAGCAAGAAAATGCTAGGTTGGGTGTAAAATACTGTTTACATTATTTTAATCATACAGCTTGGCAACTGAACAGTTCCATTTATTCGTTAGAATTTATTTTTTTATTCTGTATCAAATTGTTGAAAGAAGTAATTACAAAGTTTAAACTACAAAGAAGGTGATAGATAAAAGAAATTTTAAATTGCACCTATTTCATTTTGATCATTGATTTTTTTACAATTTATATGTCTTTGCAGAATTTTACCAACAATTTCTTAATTTTGTTGATAAATTGTAAAAACTAAAAAATACTTTTGTACATTTTGTTTGAAGTATTTATCAAATACAATAAATTTTCCTGGCAAATTCATAAGATATTTTCCCAAAATTGAACACATTTTGGAAATTCTGTATTACACATTTTTGCTTATTTCCTTTCATTAAATATTCAATATTCTATATAAAACTTTACAGTGAAAAATGTGACTACAATTCTAGTTTAAACTATCCTTTGCTTTTTGTGTGTGTGTGTGTGTGTGTATGTTTTTTTTGGGTTTTTTTTCTGTGAAAGTACTGATTTTGTGTCATGGATAGATAACCCATATCCTTTGTTTTTCTACTATAATTGCTAAAACAATATAATACCCTAATGTTTCACAACCCTTCAATCAGAAGTTGTCAAACCACTGGAATGCCTACCTTTTATACAATATTAATTCCTCCAATACCAACACAATACATTGAATTTATATTGTTTTAGTGAATGTGTGTTGTTTAGAAGAAGACAAAATATATTATTAGCAAAAAGGTAGGTAAACTAAGGTAAAACAATTTTGCACATCTCCCTTATAAAAAAACAGAATGGAAAAAAGAATTTAATTATTAAAAACAAAGGTAGTTTACAAGTAGACGTTATTTGGCACTTTAAAATATCACTTTTTTCAATAAAAGTTGAATTAACACAGAAGGAATAATAGGGAAAATGGGGTAAAACTTAAACTGAAAAAAATAAAGGAAGTAAGATGCACATATAGATGTTTTTAAAATAAAATGATCGAAATGAAGGCTTAGACTGTAATATACAAATATAAATTTTTGAAAATCGATTTTTCATGTTTTAAAGTTTTAGGCATATGTGTGTTTAATTTATATGTGATTGTGACATGTTTTTTGATATTTATGTGTTTTTATTGGGTTTTTTTTATGTATATACATGTATTTATTTGCCTATTTACATGATTATTGGTATCCTAAACAGTTATTGGATTAGATTTACCGGTATCTTTCTTATTTTAGTTATCTATAATATGCTTTTATTGAGTTGTCAAGGAAATCTAAAACAAGGAAAATCTGAATAAATATGGGTAAAATAAAAATTCCACGGGGTATTATGGTAAAAAATTTAATTTTACAAGTTTTATGGTGTAACGCATATTTAAAGAGTTTTTCGTATTTTGGTAATATTTTTTACATCAGCATGATCAGTGTCAACCTTAAATGTGATAGTTATTCTACGGAAAGTGTGCCTTGACAGAGAAACAAACATTGTTTATAAAAAAACAAAATATTCGAATGCAATTAGAATTTGAAAATTGTTTCCTTTGTTTTGCTGTTGATTTGTTTAAGCTTCTGAGATAAATGGTATATTGGAGACTTTCGATCATTTTGTCATTAGATTGCTGTCGCTTTGACGTATCCACAGCTTCTTCATAAATTTATATTTGAATTACATAACTAAATAATTTATTTTCAATTGTGACAAAACACAATAAAATCATAAAATTCCTTCCAAATATCTTCCACAAAACTGTAGAAGAAGTCATAAATGTGGAGACCATATATTTTGCCTTCTATGCAAATGCCATCACAAAGCTGTAATGTTTACTATTACAAAAAAGTACATAGATTTAAATAATATACTAGCATGTATCAAAACTGTAAGCACGCTAGTAGATTGTCCGTTTATAAAAGAGATATAATGTCGAACTAAATAAACGTTCAGTATGATCAAGCTATATGAAGGTAAATCGAGAAAAAAAAAACGTTTCGGACGCATGCAATTTGAAAAGTGTTGTTTTCATTTTTTTTTTCATATCAAGGGAGAAATACTATTGACAAAACTCAATTAAGAAATTTAATATTTACAAATAAAAAAAAAAAACACAAAGTTCATTCTAATAAGATTCGTTTGCAACAATTTGTATAACAATAAAAACAACGATTTCATTGATACTTGCACTCTTATATTGATGTGACTTTTATCCTTATATAATTTAATTTTGGATGTTACACGTCTTCTGGTTGACTGAAAGCTTTTTGTCTATCAGCTCATAGACATAATTTTGTCATGTGACCAAGACGTCAACAACGTTTTTTCATTATTTACTCCTTAAAAATGGAATTTAAAAAATTGAATCATAAGGACTGACTGTAATATTTTTTTCCGTCTATTCGAAATCACCTAAAAAATGTGGTGCACACTTTTAAATAACCCACTACGCAGGTTATTCATTGTGCACCACATTTTTGATGTTATTTCTTCATAGACAGAAAAAATATTACAGTCATTCCTTAAATAATGTTTAATGTTAAAAAAAAACGCCTTTGCAACAATTTGTGGCTGAACTCTGTGGTAGTGACGGAATTTTATTTAAAAAATGGACAATTTGTGCTAACTTCGCGATCAAAAACTTGAAAATGTGCCGTCGAGTAATTTTCACCTATGCAAAGGATGAGGGAAGCCAGAACAAAAAAAAAAAAAAAAACGAACAAACAAAACCCTACGAGCAGGTTGAGCGCTAAAGAATGCGAAAGCTAAACCATGAACATTATCAACTGTATCATATAATACGCTTTAAAAGCTCCTGTTTACTTCCTAAATGAAAAATGAAAGGTTCATCTCCTTGAAGTATTTATGTTCCAACAGATTTTTGTTGTTCATTTTAGGTGTATTAACTTTTCTTTCAACGATTTAGACAAAAATTTAAAATACGAATATTTTTTTTTTCAAGTATTGATAAAAGCGGAATTGTAAAATAATATTTCGTTATAAGCAGTTTGTTTGGA